GGACTCCCCAAAATGTAGACCCTACTCCTGCAATACAATAATGAAATTTGAAATTGAGAAATCATGTGACCACAATACTAAACACATTAGCTTCCACTTCTTGATTGCTTTGCCATTTTTTGTACCCTATCCCGGATCATCATCATGAAGTGTATACACTCCAGGGTGCAGTATTCATTTTAGCTGCAAAGTCTAGATCTCTTTGTAGGTGGCAGTAATTATTTTTTTCATGTCTACATATTTAAGTACCAAATGGAGCAGTTTATGTTCCATTTTTGAAAACTATCCAGTATGTAATGTCACGATGTACATTTTATTCACCAGGAAACTAGTCAGTTCATCAGGAAACAGTCACTCTTTTTCATGGTATTTTTCAGCAGTGACTGTGAACAAGCCACACAACAACAGCAATAGAAGGCTTAAGGAAAGAATTATGTATGCAATTGAATTAGAAGGGTATTGAAACTATAAGTAGGTAGGAAACTTCCAGAGACAGACTTTAGCCAGGAGAGTTTATAAACTTGGGGACAGTCTAGAAAAAAAAAAAAGATGAATAAAGCATGTCTTTAACATGTATTAGGAAAAAAAAGATGATCTGTCCATAAAAAAAATGAGAAATCATGAGTTGGACTGAAAACCTGTCATTGGAATGAGGCTGGATGCAAAGTGTTGATGGACAGAGCAGAGCAATGCCACCTTCAATCTGAGCGGGAGAACAGGACAGTATCCTGTAGGGAGCTCTGTCATGGTTTTGTAGACCATGGGAGCCTCTATATTCCCCTCCTCTCCACTGCAGCCACATGCTGTTGCTGTGTCCTTTGCTTGCCTGTTATGGCTGCTCACCTCAAAAGTAGGCAGGGTATAGAAAGTTGGTGTTAAACCCCTACATTTGAATCTGGTCCTTGTTACCACTCTTCAGGGCCTGCCAGAAGACTTACATTTACATGATGTAAAACAAATGTCAGTAAAAAGTTTGTTTGTCAGTAAAAGCTTACAGTTTGTCGGTAAAAAAAAATCTTGGGTTGGTAACCCTGATAATGGCCTAAGTAGCTTTAAGTGAAA